ATGATAGTGTCCATAGTCATTTAGGCCTTGGAAAGTGATTGGCTTTTACCTTGGTACAGGGTAGCAAATAGATGATAAAAACAGAGTGTGATAGGTCATCATGTGTAAGCAACTGATGGCTCTTCATTTTGAGGACAATATCTACTTGCTTTGGATTTGATGGCATATCAAATTACATACCAGTTTTTACTATGCTAAATATGCATCTTTCCACGTTTGGCCTGGCAACTCAGTAGCCTTAGTTATACCTGATTTAAGTTGCTCAAGAGTAAGAGCTACCGTTGGTCATTGTCTTAAAATACTCTTGATGAACAAACAAGACAAATATTAGCTAAGCACATACAATAGTTGCCTAATTGGGATCTGTTGTAAGAGTTTAACCATGGTCCCTTTCTGAGTAGCAAGCTTTCCTTAACAGTCTAACATACCAACATGCCATAATAATAATTTACCTGCCTATTACATAATTGGTTTTTCTGTACTCTTTTAGATAGGTCCCTGATAAAAGTGGACAGAAGTAGCAATAGTCAAGATAGGGAGTAGAGTCTGTGTGATCTAACTCAGCAGAGTTATCACAAGGTTCGTTAAATTACATGCCTTTAATGTTTTGTGTAAAAGCATGAATCACTCATGTGTATATTCTACAACATTGCCCTTTAACATTTCATGATGAGCAGGCTAGACACAAAACTCCACTAAATCATCAAGCCCTTTCTGACGTGGCGTGTATGCACCTCCAGGTTCAAAAGCAGAAGCAAGCAACATCCAGACCCTAACTGTTAAGAGTTCTGTTACAGATTTCCTCAACCTGCATACATGTGTATTATAGCCAAAGGTGACCCATGTGTGACTTTCCTGGGGTGGCAGTAGAGAGTAACACTGCCATTTGGATGTGTCCTTTGGAAAAACCAACAACACCTGTGCAGAACATCAGGACTGATGCACATCAAAGTAACAGGAACAGCCTGAAGTGTTAGTGGCCAAAGGGGAGTGGCCATAATCTACAATTCCATAAAAACACTCTCATTTCCTGGCAGTCAGTTGGCAGAATCTTTAAGCCACAATAGTCTCTCCCATTTGTTCTAGTTTAAGTTCCAACAAAGCTTGTCTAGGTCACAAGTTGGCCTTTTGTCAGCTTCTATTTGCAAAAAGGCAAAGAAATTGGGGTCAGTAGCAATGTCCAATCACCCAATTTTGCCTAATCACACCCAATTTATCCTATGTCCATAGTTTCCAATACCACTTTTGAATGTGGAGATCAATTGTCTTTTCTCCCCAATCTACACCTTGTGGGAAAAGCTTCTTTTTGTTAATGAATTATACCTTTGCTGTTTGTTTGTTATGGAGGGATTATGGGAGATGGGGATTTGCATACAGATAGTGTGAACCTGTTGCTTTGTAAAAATAACAGTTTGAAAGCCAAAGTCACTTCTGAACTTGGATACTAGTTTTTTGAAATCTGGTATCATTCAAACTGATAATTAGTGGAGGCAGTCAAGACAATATTATCCATGTTTGGAAAAGAGGGGAATGAGAAAGAAATGAAGATACCAGATAACAAGGAAAAGAGATTGTTGATACTGACAAGCATGATGCCACCTGTCTGTATTGATGGAATTTGTGTCAGTTCTACTTGCAGACTAGTATTTGTGGGGGTAGACATGATAAATAGGATAGTATCCACTACACAAAAGAAAGACACAGGTTATTATTAAATTCTTTTCCACAGAACAGGGTCTAGAAGTAGAGTCAGTGGCTTGTTAGTGTATTTACTTTTTTAAAAAATTTATGTATTTTTATTGGAAGGCAGATATGCAGAGAGAAGGAGAGATAGAGAGGAGGATTCTCTGTCGGATGGTTCATTCACCCAAGAGGTCACAATGGCTGGAGCTGAGCTGATCCAAAGCCAGGAGTCAGGGACTTCTTCCGGGTCTCCCACGCGGGTGCAGGGTCCCAAAGTTTTGGGCCATCCTCAACTGCTTTCTCAGGTCATAAGCAGGGAGCTGGATGGGAAACGGCGTTAACAGGATTAGAACTGGTGCCCAAGTTTGATCCCGACATGTTCAAGGCAAGGACTTTAGCTGCTAGGCAACAATTCCTGGCCCTTTAGTTTATTTATATAGCATGAAAACATGTCAAGACACAAACAAAACCCATATAGAGAGACAGGCTTTGAGAAACAAAGTTATTGATATTTTTTGCTTTATTTTGAATGACTTTGTCACCACAGTTTTAAATGTTTTGTTTTGCTTTTATTATTATGCATTGTGACAACTACTCAATGTAAAGATACAATAAAGGGACTGTTATTCCTAATCCAAGTAACTTGCAAAAGTTGTGTTTGGTAATAACTAGAGGAAACATCATCAACATTCTGTGAACAAGAAGAGAAACCTGAAAAAATGTCCTGAAGAATCTAGTGCCCAAATCTGTTGGTGTCTAAGATGTTTTTCACTCAAAGGAAACAAGGGTTTCTTGGGAGAATGGCTGATTCTAGTACTGGGACAGTAGTGATGAGCCTGGGGAATCTTGTAATACAAGAAAGTAAAAAGTTCTCTTATTCTGTCCAAAGTGAAAACAAAACAAAACAAAATCTGTTCTTTTAGGGATGTTCTGTAAAAACAATGTAGAAGACTCTGGCACAATGGTTCAATTGGCTGATCCTCCCCCTTCAAGAGCTGGGGTCCCATATGAACCCCAGTTTACATCCTGGCTGCTCCACTTCCCATCCAGCTCACTGCTTGTGACCTGGAAAAGCAGTAGAGGATGACCCAAGTGCTTGGGACCCTGCACCCACACAGGAGACTTCGAAGAAATTCCTGTCTGCTGGCTTCAGATTGGTTCATTTGTGGCCTTTGTGGCCACTTGGGGAGTGAACCAATGGAAGGAAGAACTTTTTGTCTCTTCACTTTGTAAATCTTCCTTGCCAATAAAAATCAATACATTAAAAAATATATACATATAAGTCAAAGAAGAGAGTTTCCAATCATGAAAATCAAATGTTTGTACCAAAATTCGTAATGTTGTATTATAAACTAAAGTATTAAGTAGTCGTGTATCCATACTGGTGAAAATAAATCTTAGACAGTAGACAAATTTCTTAGGTAAGGCAGTTCCAAATGTTATGTGTAGCTAATCTTCAAAAAGCTAGATTATACCTCCTGCTCCTGAATTGAGTGCTCCATTTAGTAACTTATCTGCAAAGGTATGGAAATTGGGGACAAAAACCAAACCAAAACAACAATAACAAAAAACTCTTGAATTTAAGTCTAATAATGAGAAGTACTTCAGAAAAACAACAAACAATAAAAATGAGACAGGCACATCCTGTGAAACACCTGACCAGTCCTAAAAATGTTCACTGTCATTAAGCTCTTGGCTAAGAAACACTTAAGTAAGAAAAACTGGAAAAGACAGCTACATATGATATGGTATCTGAGATGAGCTGATGAAACAGAAGAAGGATATTAGCCAGAACTAAGAACATGTAAATAAAGTATGGAATTTAATTGCAGCATAGATACACTTATTCATTGATTCTGGCACATGTACCAATGCTAATGTACGATATTAATAACTGGGGAAGAATAGAAAATAAGTGGGTGCTTTAACTATCTGCACCTTTTCTGTAGATTTAAATCTATTCTGAAAATTTAAAAAAGGTTTAAGAGGGCACTTCAAAGAGTTTAGAGAAAATCTGCATTTTGAAAAAGTTATGTATAAATTTCAGAATGCTCTTGGCACAACTGCAAACTTTTAAAAATAAAATTTGTGTTTATTTGAGAGGTAGAGAAGGAAAGAAGAGATAATGAATACTGGAATAGCTGCCCTGGGTCCAAAGCTACAACTCATTGCATGTTTCCCAGCTGGATGATCAGAAACTCAAACATACTTGTGCTGATACTGCTGATTTCCAAGATCTGAAATCAGGAAGTGGGTATCAGATATTAAGCCCAGTTACTTTAATAAGTAACATGGCCATTTTAAAAAAGATTATTTTTCTTGTAAAAGGCACAGTTAGAGAGTGCTCTCTTCCTCGTATTGGTTCATTTCCCAAATGGCTACGATGGCTAGATGAAAGAGGAGACCCAGAAGCTTCCTCGGGTCTCTCAAATGCGCACAGGGGCCCTACTTTGGGCCCTTTTCTGCTGCTTTCAGACAGGTCAGAAGCAAGTTGGATTGGATATAGAGCAGCGGAGATTTGCACTGAGATCCAAATGGGACGCCAGCATTGTAGGCAGTGGTTTTACCACTCTGCCATATGCTGGCTGTGGCATGAACTTCTTAACTATTTTACGAACATTCATCACTTGCTTCTATTTTCTGTAAATGTTTAAAAATGCCCTTGGGCAGAGAGCAGTAGCTCAGTGGATAAAAGTCCTCACCTTGCACATGCTGGGATCCCACATGAGTGCTGGTTCTAACCACGGCATCCCTACTTCCCATCGAATTCCCTGCTTGTGGCCTGGGAAAGCAGGACAGCCCAAAGCCTGGGATCCTGCACCTGTATGGGAGACCTAAAATAGACTCCAGGCACCTGGCTTGGGATTGGCTCAGCTCCAACCGTTGTGGCCCATTGGGGAGTGAATCGATGGATGGAAGAACCTCCTCTCTATCTCTCTTCCTCTGTGTATATGTGACTTTCCAATAAAATAAATATATCTCTCTTTTTTAAAAAGAATAGTTCAGTAGACTGGTGTCCTATTTGGAAGTTCAGAGAAGAAAGAAACAGTAAATAGGACGCAGCTGCTCAATAATTACTGTGGCTAAAAAATTTCTTATTACTGGATTCTGAGTATGGACTGTGTTGCTTGGACTGCTTTATTGAAAATGGCTTTGTTTTATTTTTGACTATGTATTCCTGTGGTATTGTGCAGAACTTTCGAGAATTACATTATTCGTTGTGTATGACATTGCCATTTTGTTCATAGTGTTTAATAATTGGGAAATTATATATTTCGACCTGAAACATAATTCGATAGAAGCTGATATTACTTCCTAAGTTCATATCATATTGCATTCATTTTTCATCATCCTTGAACAGGGGCCATGCTAATTTTCTCTGTATCATCCCAATTTTTTTAATGTGTGCTGCCAAGGCAAGCACAATGTTATGTTCATCTTAATCATTATTTGTATTTATTTATTTATTTATTTTTCAAGATTTATTTATTTTTGTTGGAAACCAGATATACAGAGAGGAAAGACAGAGAGGAGAGACAGAGAGGAAAATCCTCCGTCCAATGATTTGCTCCCCAAGTGGCCGCAATGGCTGGAGTTGAGCCAATCCGAAGCCAGGAGCCAGGAACCTCCTCCATATCTGCCATGCAGGTGCAAGGTCCCAAAGCCTTGGGCCATCTTCGACTGCTCTCACAGGCCACAAGAAGGGAGCTGAATGGGAAGCAGGGCTGCCGGGACCATAATGGGTGGCCATATGGGATCCTGAGTATGCAAGGCGAGGACTTTAACCACTACGCTATTACACCAGACCCAGCATCTTAATCATTATTTTTAAACAAGTTTAATCAGAAAGAGGCAAAGATACAGTGATAATGGATGGACAGATGGATAGTTACCTAGTTAGCTAGCTAGATATAGAGAAATGTTGATGATGTTCTCATTGATTGTCCCGATGTCTATGATGGCTAGGGGCAGGCCAGGCCAGTGCCAGAAACCAGTAACTCAGCTTCCCCCACATGGATAGCAGAAAATTCAGTTACTCGAGCCAACACCACTGCTTCCTGGGTCAACAGTAGCAGGGAGTTAGAATCAGCAGCTTAAAATGAATTCCAGGTATTTCAATCTGGGGCCCAGCTGTCTTCACTGGTATCTTGACTGCTAGATCCCAAATCTGCCCCTTAAGTCTCATATTTTAGAAGTGTTTGATTATTCATATGGCCCTTCTACCTTCCACCAGAAATGCATTTTGATTATTAAAATTATTTTCTACTGCAAAAATAGTGGGAAGAAAACATGAAATTCTTTAAGCATTTTGTAAACCCAGCCCTTCAGTAGCAATCACAGGAGTTCTCACGAAGGCTGGATAGAAATACATCGTCTATTTGCTGTTCTAATCACCATCTCCTAAGCCTGCAGAGCTAACTCATAGCATAAATCTGTGTTTCCTGAAAATATCACATTGTGTTCTTGAGAACATCAGCATGGAAATGATCTCCAGAGTAAAATCTGTATGAGATGTATGAAATCTCTATAAGGAATGTTGGATTATTGCACTCTGTAGCTTTGAAAATTATCTTGTTTGGACAGCATCAGAAAGCTTCAATATACTTGTATGAATTATAGATGACACCAAGTACCCTTGTGAAGGTAGCTATGGAATGCTTTTTTAAGACTGGCCCTACAGCCCATGGATATTATTATCTGCCTGACATACCAGAAATTTAATTTTCAAAATATGTCAGTGGTCTAAGTTTTTTTTAAAGCAATCTGAGATTAATACTCAGAATCCTTTTCTCTTCTTTCTGTTTTTAAAATTTGCATAACTATTTTTTTTTTAGTTTTTTAACCTGAAAAAGAAGTCATGGCTTTTAAACAATTATCCCAAAGACAAATTGATTTCAAAGAAAGGCTGTCTGTAAAGATGTGGGGGGATAAAACCAACATTGATTTTGGAGTGTAGTTTCCTATTAAGTCAGATACCTAGGAGACATAGGAGAAGTATCTTTGCAGTCAGTGGAACATGTGGTGAAATGCAGGTAAGAGGCTCCAGATCAACACTGTCTTTTTGAAAGGAACACAGCTTATTGAAGTTTCTTTATCTTGTAAGAAAAAGTTTGCTAGTTTTTATTTGAGATCAAGATTTCCAGAGACAAGGAGAGATTAGAGAAAGAGAGAGAGAGATCTTTCATCCTATGTTTCACTCTCCGAATGGCCACAATGAGCAAAGCTGAGCTGATCCAGCAGCTTCTTCCAGGTCTTCCCCATAGGTGCAGAACCCAGTGTCTTGGGAAATCCTCCAATGCACTCCCAGGCCATCAGTAGACAGTTGGATTGGAAATGGAGCAATCGAGACACAAACGGGCCCATATGGGATGCCAATGTTAGCAGGCAGAGGATTAAGCTGTTGAGCCACAATGCCAGTGCCTGAATTGACATTCTTTAAAATAACTTTGTTTATATGCTCTCTGTATGAAAAGGAAAGTTTCAGAATAAATGCTTATGTTAAGAGATTAGAAAATGGTCTAACCATACATCTAAAGAAGCTAGAAAAAAATAGCAAAACATCCCAAGATTATCAGAAAAAATAATCAAAATAAGAGAAGAAATAAACGAAAAGAGACCAAAAGAGCAAAACATAGGCTCAGTGAATAAAAAAGAAAGTCAACCATAGAGGTTTTTGACTACACAAATAATAAAAAAGGAGGAAGTGTGAATTAATAGAATCAGATATGAAAAATGAAATATAATAATGGACATCTTGGACATATGTGGAAAAACCATAAGGATTGAAGCAACTATATGCCAGCCCATCAAATGACTAGAAAAATGAATAGATTTTTGGACACATAGTATCTACCAAAATGGAATAATGAGATAATTAATGATCTAAATAGATCTATAACTAGAATAAGATTACTCAGAAATAAAATTATTCTTGACAAAGAAAGGCCCTAGACTAGTTGGGTTTACTGTTGAATTCTACCATATATTCCAAGAAGAAATACCCCAATCCTCCACAAGCTATTCAAACAGTAGAAATGGAGGCAATCCTTCCAAACTCTTTGTATGAGACCAACATAACTTTAATACCAAAGCCAGATAGAAACACAACAGAGAAGGAGAATTACAGACTGATAGCCCCGATGAACATAGAAGAAATCCTCAACACAATGCTACCCAAAAGAATCCAGCAATACGTCAAAAATATCAGACACCTGGAACAGGTGGTATTCAACCCTGGCATGCAAGGATGCTTGAACATACACAGAGCAGTAAATGTGGTACACCACATCAACAAACTGAAGAATAGAAGCCATATGATCATCTCCACAGGTGCAGAGAATGCATTTGATGAAGTCCAACAACAGTTCATGCTTAAAACCCTAAGCAAGATAGGCATAGAAGGTACTTTGTTACAAGCTCAAAGCAATATGCAAAAAACTCAATGCCAGCATCATACAGAACAGGTAAAGACTGCAAGTTTTTCCACTAAGATCTGGACCTAGACAAGGATGTTCGGTTTCACCACTGCTATTCAAGATAGTATTGGAAATTCTTGCTACAGCTCTTAGGCAACAAAAAGAAATGAAAAGAAATGTAACCAGAAATGAGGAATTACAATTCTCCCTATTTGCAAATGACACGATTTTATACATAGGAAAACCAAAAGAATGAGTCAAGAGCCTATTGGAACTCATAAGAGAGTTTGATAGGGTAGCAAGATATAAAATTAATGAACATAAATTGATGGCCCTGGTATATGTAAATAACACCATGGCTGAAAAGAACAGGTAAATACAATCCCCTTTAAAATAGTGAAGAAGAATCTTAAACACCTTGGAGTCAACCAAACGAAAGATGTGTAATAGCTCTGTTATTAAAATTGTGAAACATTAAAAAAAATTGATGAAGACATTAAATAATGAAGACATTTATCATGTTCCTGGATTGATAAGATGAACATCATAAAAATGTTCGTGTTGCTGAAAGTCATATACAGATTCAATGTATTTTAAATCAAAATCCCAACAACATTCTTCTCAGAAATAGAAAAGGTGATTCAGAAATTCACCTGCAGAGACAAGAGACCATGAATAGCCAAAACTATACTGAAGAATGCTTATATATTGAGGAATCACAATTCCAGATTTGAAGACATACTACAGGGAAGTGGTCAGGAAAACAATCTGGTACTGGTACAGAAACAGAGAAAAAGACCAGCGGAACAGAATAGAAGCTTGAGAAGGGAGCCCACACGTGTGCAGCTAACTAATATTCGACTGGAGAACTGAAAATAATTCTGGGAAAGAGTTTGGTCTCTCAAAACAATGCTGTTACTTCTTTCTTTATGCAAAAATCTGCTCTAAGTTGATCAAGGATTTAAATGCAGAGAAAAACATAAGAAGAACTCTGAAAATATAGGCATGCATTGATAAAGTCTTTGGTGAAGATTTCTTAGAAAAGAAAAGCAAAAGCACCAAAATCACAGGCAGTGAAAGCCAAAATAAACAAGTGGGAGTGAATCAAACTAAGGAGCTTCTGAGTAGCAAAGGAAACAATCAAGAAAGTGAAGAAGCAGCCTACAGAATGGAAGAAAATCTTTGCACCCTACACTACAGATAGGAATTATGTAAAAAGATCTTCAGAACCTTGATGACAGCAAAACAAGTAACCCTGTGAAGAAATGGACGAAGGAAATGAATAGGCAGTTTTCAAAGGAATAAATTCAAATGTCTGATAAACTTATGAAAAAATATTGCTAGTGAAATGCAAATGAAAACCACATTGAGGTTCCACCTAACTCCAATGAGATTGGCCTATATTCAGAACTCTACTAATAACACCTGCTGGCATTGATGTGGGAAGAAAGATACCTGCTTGCATCGATGTGGGAAAAAAGCTACCCTACTGCACCGTGAGTGAGAGTGTAGGTTAGTGTAGCCTCTATGGAAGTCAATATGGGGAGTTATAAGACAACTGTAAATTGACCTACCATATGAGCCAGCAATTCCACTGTAGGAATATATACAAAGGAAGTGAAATCTGCATATGAGAAAGTGACCCGCAATCCTATATTTATAGCAGCATAATCCAGAATAGCAAAGACATGGAAACAACCCAGATGCCAGTCAAAAGAGGAATGGATAAAGAAACTATGGTGCATCTACTCTATAGAATGCTATATAGATATGAAAGATAATGAAGTTCTACCATTTGAAACAAAATGGTCTCAAGTAGATACCATTATGTTCAGTGAAAAAAGCCAATCCTGGTTTTCTGAGAAAATAAACAAAATAGACACTCCACTGGCCTGATTGACCAAAAAAAAAAAAAAAAAAAAAACAAGAGAAAGCGAGAATCAATAGCATTAAAGATGAAAAAGGCAACATAACAACAGACACTGCAACCATTAAGAAAATAATTGGA